TAAATAAATAACATCTTTTTAAAAAAAGGTTTTGTCTTTTAAAGACACTAATGTATTTATGAATTACATGTTATGATTCTAGAATCTGTTTCCAAATAATACAAGAAGGGAGAAGTGAGTAGGAATATAAAAGAAGTACAACGGGCATGCCTGGGTGGCTCAATCAGTTAACTGTCCAACTCTTCACTTCAGCTCGGGTCATGATCTCAGGGTCGTGAGCCCTGCCTTGGGCTCCACAACAGCTCAAAGTTTCTTGGGATTCTCTCTCCCTCTGCCCCTCCCCTGCTTGTGCATATGCTCGCTCTCTCTAAAATAAATAAATAGGGGTGCCTGGGCGGCTCAGTCAATTAAGCCTCTGCCTTTGGCTCAGGTCATAATCTCAGAGTCCTGGGATGGAGTCCCGCATTGGGCTCTCTGCTTCTTCCTCTCCCTCTGCCCCTCCCCAATGTGCTTTCTCTCTCTCTCCCTAATAAAATCTTTTAAAAAGTAATAAATAAATAAAATTAAGGAGAGAAATAAAATGTTTTTAAAAAATAGCACTATCCATGAGTTGGTCATTTTGAGTGATGAGTAGCGAACGGTTCAATATTCCATTTGGTCTGCTTTTGTATATACTTGAATTTTGTATAATGAAAAGTAATAAAAAATAAGATACCTTGTTTTATTTACTTTGTAACTATTTTATGTACATCAATATAAAAATCCTAAATAAATAAAATTGGCATGGGTCAACTTTCTTCTCTTATATTGTCCTTGTCCTTTCTGATATGAAGATTGTATTAGTTTAGAAATATAATCTGGGTAACCGTCTTCTACGCTCTATAAGCTTAGATAAGATATGAACAATTTGTTTCATAGAAGTTTAGCTGAACTTTGTTAAACCATCTGGGCCTGACAGCTACACAATGAAGGGAGGATTCCTAGACACAATTACATTTTATCTTTTGACTTTTAATTACACAGCACCATAGGCTGAATACTGATTATTTGCCATTTACTGCAACTTGCTTCATGACTTGGTATGTGGTCAAATTTCATAAATGTTCTGTGTACTTAAAAATGTATATGATTGGGGCACCTGGGTGGCTCAGTGGCTTAAAGCCTCTGCCTTTGGCTCAGGTCATGATTCCAGGTCCTGGGATCGAGCCCTGCATCGGGCTCTCCGCTGAACAGGGAGCCTGCTTCCCTCCTCTCTCTGCCTGCATCTCTGCCTACTTGTGATCTCTGTCAAATAACCAAATAAAAAATCTTTAAAAAAAAAAATGTTGGGACGCCTGGGTGGCTCAGTTGGTTAAGCGGCTGCCTTCGGCTCAGGTCATGATCCCAGCGTCCTGGGATCGAGTCCCACATCGGGCTCCTTGCTCGGCGGGGAGCCTGCTTCTCCCTCTGCCTCTGTCTGCCTGTGCTCGCTCGCTCTCCCTCTGTCGCTGAAAAATAAATAAAATCTTTAAAAAAAAAAAAAAATGTTTATGATCTAGGGTGCCTGGGTGGCTCAGTTGGTTGAGCGTCTGTCTTCAGCTCAGATCATGATCCCAGGGTCCTGGATCAGGTCCTGCATCAGGTTCCCTGCTCAGCAGTTCCTTGCTTCTCCCTCTGCCTGCTGCTTCCCCTGCTTGTGTGCTGTCTCTCTCTCGCTGTCAAATAAATAAAAATCTTAAAAAATAAATGTTTAAAAAATGTGTATGATCTAATAATTAGGTGCAGGTTCTCTAAATGTCCATTGGCTCAAACTTGTTAACTCTTTTATCCAAATTCCATTTTACTAATATTTACTTAAGTGTATTATCAAGAGGTAAATAAAATATTACTAGCATTTGTCATTCTAAATGTCAATTTTAAATATATGTTGAAGTTATATATACACACAAAGTCATGACTTATCTTTTCCCAGAAATACTTGTTTTCCTAATGGATTATCAGAATGAATTTCTCAATCCCTGTTAATGTTTTTGTCTTAGTCTAAATTTTCTTAAAACTAATATAGCTATAACAGCTATTTTTTGGTTGCTTGTGTTAAAATGTTTTAGACCCTTACTCATAAGCAACAATGTAATTATTCATTTGCTTCCTTTTAAAGAAATCCTATGCTGGAGTTTTCTCTGCCAAGTGTATTCTGTTTACATTTCTCGTGATAACTGATATAGTTGAAGTTATTTTCACCATTTTATTTTATTTTTAATATATTATGCCTATACACTATGACTTTACTTTTCCTTTTTTTTAACTCTTCCTTAAACTTTTAAGATTACCTGAAAGTAGAATCAGTATCAATATTCTCTTTCTAAATACTAAGACCTGAGAAAGCTTTAACTCTGATCAGTACCATTCCTGAATTATGCATTATTTTCTAGTACAATATTTAATTCTTGTGCATTTAAGTTATTTATTGTGTGCATTTATTTGTTGTGTTTTTTTATAAAGCAAGTAGCCAGATTAGGATACATGTTGACTTTTTTATTTTTTTTTTTTGAGAGAGAGAGAGCACAAGAAGGTGGAGAGGAAGAAGCAGGCTCCCCTCAAGGAGGAGCTCAATCCCAGAACCCTGAAATCATGACCTGAGCCAAAGGCAAACGCTTCGTCAACTGAGCCACCCAGGTGTCCCATGTTTACCAATTCTTTAACTTTGCATCTTGCATGCTCTTCTATATCCTGGGTTCAATTTCCTTTTACAAAGTATAACTACCTTCAGTAGTTCTTTCAGTAATGGTTTATAAGCAGTAAACTTCCCATCTCCATCTGCAAAATATATTTATTTCTCCATCACCTTTTATTTTTCCTTGAAGATATTAATCTACTGGTTTTGACCTCTATTCATCCTCATGGTATAACTGCCATCAAGTTATAATTGAGTTGTCTTTCTCTCTGGCTCCTTTATTACTCTCTTTTCACTGGAATGTATTGAATTGTCCATTTATATTCCTTCTACTTATAGATTGATTGCTTATTTTTTTATTTTTAGGCAAAGTCACATAAAAGAGAAAACATGATCTGAGAATGACTATTTTCCTAATTCTCCCAAAGATTATTCAAAACTAACTCCATACTAAATGTGTGAGACATTAATTCATTACATGCAGTGGATGCCCTAGGGTAGTGGTTCTCAAACTTGAGCACACAAAACACCTGGGGAACTGGACTCCACCCACAGTTTCTGATTTAGTAGGTCTGGCGTCTTGCCATGAATCTGCATTTCTAATAAGTTCCCAGGGGACGCTAATGCTAATTCTGGTGGTCACATAATCATGCTTTAAGAATCACTGTTGTGGGGAACCTGGGTGGCTCAGCTGGTTGTGTCTGCCCTCCGATCAGGTCATGATCTGGCTCAAGTCATGATGTGGGTCCTAGGATCAAGGCCAGAGTCAGGCTCCCTGCTCAGTGGGGAGTCTTCTCCCTCTCCCCCTGCTCTATCCCCAGTTGTGCCTGCTCTCTCTTCCTCATTTTCTCTCCCTCAAATGAATAAATTAAATCTTTAAAAAAAAAAAAAAAAGAAACACTGTCTCAGGGATTAGTGATAATTACCTCATAGAATCCTATGTTGATAAGGACCACAGGGATTTGTCCTGCTTCTTAAATCTAGAGATTAGTATTTCTCATCAAGTCGAAACAGAATTTAGCTTTAAATACTGCTCTCTCCCGTTTCTTCTTCTAGAATTCCAACTACATAACATAACAATGCTTAACAGTCCATCATCCAGCCGGAACTGCTTCAGTTCATTCTTCACACAGCTCTCAGGCTAAAATCAAAACTTTTTCATATCACCTCCGCTATCCAAAACTGTTGTTTACTGGCTCCTCTACACCCATAGGAGCAGTTCTTTATGAGGAAGGATAAATGGATGGGCTTTAGAGGACATGCAAACTTTTGAGTATTTACATTATGTTACACTTATTTTTTTTAAATACCATCTAATAAGTCTGTGAAATCACTTAGATAAGTACATTAAAAATCACTAACTTAAATTCAAATGAGTCGGTATGGCACATAAAGCTCTTCCTGATCCATGCCTGCCCTAACCTACCCTTACACCATCCTATGCAGGCCATGCTTTCAAAATTTCTTCACGGTACACATACCACCTCCACCTAGAAAAGAATGCCCAATAGGCCTCTTCACGGACCTAATTAACTTCTCTTCCCAAGAGGTCCAATATCACCTCCTCCAGGAAACCTCAACCCACTTGAGTTAGTTGCTCCCCTTTCTATTCTCTCTCAGCATCTTGTACAAACATCCACTATGACCTTTCACCCTTCGAATTAGTGGTCTACAAAACTATCTTCCTTTATCAGCATATCAGTTATCTCCAGCAAGAACTTAATCGTTATCTCTAAATCCTCATAGTAGATACAGTATGTCTGTTTTCATGTAGATTTTCAAGGGAACCAGAGATTCAATGGCAGTAAATGGCCATCTATCTAGTTTTGTCTCACATTTCTCCACAAAATACTTCAAAGTATCAAAGCAAGGATTATGCCCCTATAGGTCTGATGCCTGCACTGTCAATACAACCAAGAGAAAAATAGCAGAGGGATAATCAAATCTAAGAGTTCAAAAACACTGGAGGGGTAATCAAATCTGTTCAAAAACCTTCATTTAAAAAAAAAAAAAAAGGGCTCTCATTTTAATTCCTATACAAGTCTACTTGCTTTATGATTATCTAATACACAGATGTGCATATTACAAATTCTGAGAAGATTCCTTGTTATTATTTGTTAAAACACATAATAAAATCCCTTTAACAAAAGTATACAAAATCCCTAAAGTAAATGGCTCTTTCCAGGGACAGAGGGTGGAAATGTGAGGAGCCAAGGAGGTCTTTTGCTTATTACTTTTCAGGTCTATCAGTTTATATCAGTTTACCATCTGAACTTTTTTTTAAATAATGTATCACTTTAGAAACCAGTAAAACAATGGAAAGTTTAAAAAATAAAAAGAGCTACATCCTATGTATGCTATTAAGAAAAGAGCTTAATTATGTAATCATTTTAATATTATTTCTTACCAGATTTAAGACCTGAAATTTTGAAGATGGCACTTGGTTTCCCATTTGTGACAAATCCTAGGAGTTGCCATACAGGCATTCCGTTTGAATCAGGATAGGAAAAGTAGACAGATCCTCCCATTCCCTCAGGAAATGGGATTGTTCCCAGCATAAAAACCACAACATGGTTGATACTTTCATAATCAGGCAAGTCAAAAACAAATTTATCCTCTGCCACTTGCTGTGCAGCTGTTTGCACCTAGAAAATAAGAGACGTGTCTTAGTTTAACAGTTTGAGGAGTTTCTACAACCCTTATAGTATTTCTGTAAGCTGTTATCAAGTCAATTATATATATTATAGTCAATTATAATGATTAAACCCAGTATAACTTTGGGTTAATCTGATAGTCTATACGGAATTTCCAAATATTTCAGTGTTAAATTTAAAAAAGAAAATCCAAATTATATATATATATATATATATATATATATATATATTCAGCCTTAAAATAATCATTTAATGAATGGAATCTTTAAAAAAAGAACTAAATTATTTCAGAAGTGCCCTGAAAAGAATTTACTTACATAAGTAAATCACTACGGCTTCAGAATATTAAAGAAATTAAAGGTTGCTCAAAATACCACACCACCAAAGCTTTATCCTCTAGTATGCGAAGTACAGGAAATTAAAATGGGTAAGCAATACAGAAAGAATTAGTTAATCCTCATTTGCAAATTCCCTATTTATTAATCTGCCTACTCACTAAAATTTATTTGTATGCACAAAATCAATATTCATTGCACTTTGGTGGTCGTTCATGGGCATGTTCACGTGCAGAGCAGCAAAAATTTTAGGTTGCCTAATGTACACTTTCCCAGCTGAGATGGAGAAAAGTTAGCTGTGCCTTCTTTCTTTCAGCTCTCATAGTGTAAACAAATGTGTTTTTCTGCAGTCAGTTTAGTGTCATGTTTGGTTGTATTTTGTGCTTTTTGTTGGTGATTCGGATGTTTAAAATGGCCAAGCTGAAATGCTGGCTAGTAGTCCTAAGTCTGAAACGGTTGTTATGTGCCTTACTGAGAAAATATGTTATGTAAGTCTCATTCAGAAATGAGTTATGAGGGCGCCTGGGTGGCTCAGTGGGTTAAAGCCTCTGCCTTCGGCTCAGGTCATGATCCCAGTGTCCTGGGATCCAGCCCCACATCGGGCTCTCTGCTCCGCGGGGAGCCTGCTTCCTCCTCTCTCTCTCTGCCTGCCTCTCTCTGCCTTCTTGTCATCTCTGTCTGTCAAATGAATAAATAAAATCTTTAAAAAAAAAAAAAAGAAAGAAATGAGTTATGATGTTATTGGCTGTTAAGTTCAATGTTAATGAATCAACAAAACATATTAAATAAGATGTACTTGAACAGAAAACAAGGTTATGTCTGACAGGCTAATAAAAACTGTCATCAGAGGCTTGAAAAAACCTAACTCTGTATTTCCCCTAAGAGCAATGATTCAGTATTTACTAACTGAGGAACTGAGTATTCACACTGACTTCACAGAACCGAACTACTATGAATAACGAGAATCAACTGTATATGAGGCAAAAATCCTACTTTGAATGTGGTTAAGTGGGAACCTGTGAAAGTTTCCTCTTGACTCATTTCATAATCTAATTTTCTGTTCTAGAATTGAATGTCAGTTTCTAGAATAAGATCTTAACTTATTTTGAAGTTTGAGAAGTTTGAGAAATCTACTTCCAAAGAGAAAATTCTTTATTCCACTTTCAGAAAATTACTGATTATTGCTATATCACATCCATTAGCAAAAATGAAGTACTACTTCTGAGGGCACTCAGGTCAAAAGGCTGTCAAGAGTTTACATCACACAGTTTTCTGGTTTTCTTTTTAATTGTTATTGCCACTCCATTCACCAAAACACCAAATCTGAATTTCTACCAGTATTTTAAGGCTCTAAATGGTCAAATCTTATTACCTACAATGCAATTTCTTTTCCTTCGCTAATAGTTGTTGTTGTTACTAAAATGCTTACTTTTCTCTTTTATAATACCCTAGCTACTACTACAAAGAAACTTAAAGAATTTATAGCTATGTATTATCAATAAATATGAATTGTCCTAAATTTATTCCCAAGAGACCAAGAATGTATGTTCTTAAAATCAAGTTCTGCTTCTCTCTTCTGAAGTTTTCCAACCTCATTAAAAACTGTCCACTTTATGGGTCGCCTGGGTGGCTCAGTGGGTTAAAGCCTCTGCCTTCGGCTCAGATCATGATCCCAGGGTCCTGGGATCCAGCCACATCGGGCTCTCTGCTTTGCGGGGAGCCTACTTTCTCCTCTCTCTCTGCCTGCCTCTCTGCCTACTTGTGATCTGTCAAATAAATAAATAAAATCTTAAAAAAAAAAAAAAAACTGTCCACTTTAAACAGAGAATAAAACAAAAGAAAAACATAAATGTAAAACCAAACTGCCTATATTAGTATTAAATTCAGTTTCACCAGTTTTGGGCATGCACATAATCCTAAAAACACATAAAATGATGGTATTTACAAGCCATGAAATAACCATTAGGCAAAATAAATATCAGTTAAATGTCAAGTCTACCAAGCACCAGATATTCTATATATCTGTATTATGACACACTAATACTTAACCTTAGGGAAAAAGATAACTCTTTTATTTAAGAAAAAATTTTCAAGGAATTAAACTGAGGAATTAAACTCATAACATTGGATGACTGGACTTTTCTAGTTAGAGAATAAGGAAGTTAAGTTTTGGATATCTCCAGGTCTGCCCTTCATTTTGAACATGTTTCTCTGATTAACAGAGTCCAGACACCTCCTAAAAGTTTTATCTTCAAAGAACCTCTACTGGTATCTATCACAGAGGTTAGGTGTTAGGTAAGTAGCCACAGGTATTGCTGTAATTAAATTTTCTTCCAAATTAGTTAACAACATGGGATACATGGAATCCGTGTGGCCTTTTCTTTAAAAAACGCACACAGGGGCACCTGGCTGGCTCAGTTGTAAAATACGAGACTCCTGATCTCGGGGTCGTGAGCTCAATCCCCACGTTGGGCACAGAGATTACTTAGAAATAAATAAATAAAGTAAAATAAAACACACACACACACACACACACACACAAATTTTAAATGTCATTCATTGATGACCCTCACTCATTTGAGTACCACACTTATCCCAGGCTGGTCTTTTCATTTTCCCTAACAGCAGGAGCAATCCAAAGTTATCTCACCAATATTATCAATTACCAATTACCACCATCACCAAAGCGGTCTCCCAGTCATTCAAGAGACAAACAGAATCTGAGGCTAGTAGTCTCCAATTTATCTTTCTGGTTTCTTAAAACTGTGTACAGAATACATTACCAGAAGTTGATGAAAAATTTAATTCAACAAATGGGCTGCAAAATTTAACAAAGCAGGGAGCAAAAAGAAAGAAAACGAACTCTGGGTGAAAGGAGTTAAGTCTAAAAGGGATTTCTGGATGGTTTCTAAAGAGGCAAGCAAGATTCATCCTCTAAATCATTTCTAAACAATTCCAGGTGCTGATCCCATTTAACTCTAATAATCTGGCAAGGCTGATTATTATATCTTCTGACCAACAAAGATTTTCGCAGCTCATACCCTTCTGGGGTACCTCGGCCATGACTCACACTTAAGTTTAGGCCTTTCTATCAGCCAACTTCGATTACTTTAAGCATATTTTTTACTGGGGTCCTTCCAAAAGGACCCCAAATGTATACACTGCTCCAGCACGTTAACCTTTTAGAAACAGTACGTTACACATGAGATTCAAATGCCAGGTTTACCTCTTAAGTTACTGCATGAGCTAGCTCAGGCAAGTATTTAAACTGACGATTAAGCTTAAGTTCCTCAACTACAAAATTTCTTATAATAACCATCTCACGAGTAAGGTTAAATCTGAGTTGCTAAACAAACGCTACCTAGAAAGCTCAAACTATCAGAAACGGACAAAAGGCGAGCACCGCCTGCGTATATAGATAATGCACACTCGATAAAGAGTAACTAATGTGGCTACTATTCAAATGACTGAAAAGAGCCGAGAAAGAGATTACCCCAGCACCCACTCTCCACCCTCACATTTAGCTGGAAAGTACACGTGGCGGGGGGGGGGGGTTCCCCCACCTCTCCTGCACCCGAGCACCTTCCCCTTCCAGGGGCCTCGCCCTCGGGCGTCCTGCCCCCTTCCTGATACCACCCGGCCCCATCCTCACCAGCCTCCCAGCCACCAAGCAGCCAAACATGGCGGCGACTCCGCTCAGCCGCCAGGGACCCGAAGCCGGCGACTACAAGTCTTGGGGCTACTGCCCTAGTTAAGCACAAGAACCTTCCAGAACATGCAGGAGGACGCTTGCCCCTCTGCTACATAGCCACCAGGCCCGCGGCAGGAACGCCTTCTGGCCCCACGACCTCTGACTCTACTTCTTAACCAGCACGCTACTCAGGTAGCGAGTACTTCCGGGGCTTACACCAGCCTCCCCACCTAAGGGAGAAAGTCAGGCCGGAGCCAGAACAAGACTACAAGTCCCATATTGCCCTGCGCCGGCTTCCGGGAGGAGAGTCAGGAGGACTTTCCTCTCCGGATTGACTCTCCACCCAACAGATTTTCAAATTCGGTGCCAGTATGTGTTTATCACATTTGTGTAATATTTTAAAAATTATAGTGCGCTTTACGAAAATCACTTCTCTAGGTCCTGGCAAAAACCTTACGAGGTATGCAAAGAAATTGCCTAGAATGACCAGTTCCCTGTCTTTACCCAGCACTAAATGTTGGAGCTTGAATCCAAGTCCTGATCCAAATCCAGGGCTCTTTCTCCTACACAATGTCTCAAAGCACTAATTTTTAACCAGCCATTTAGTACTTACTGACAACTTTATTGTAGTTCTTTTCAGCTTCACTTAACTCCCCCATTTATTTTCTGTAAAACTGTAAGCAAGATACTATAATAACTTTATAAATTTGTGGTTTAATGTTCCCATTTGTAAAATAAGAATAATAATTGTACCTATCTTATAGGGTCGCTGAGAGGATAAAATGAATTAGTATATATAAAACAGAATAGAGTGGCAGCAGTTAATTTATGGGGGTTTTAAATGTCTTACTTTTCTATATGTATTTGCAGTAAAGGTTCATAGGAAGTAAAAAGCAATAGCCCAAAGAAACTGACATCAATTACTAATTGACACCAATATTCACTCTCCTTCCACAGCTTTATCTTCTTAGATAGAAAGGTAGGATATCCCCTCCCCAAGGGTCTCTGTCCTGCACCAGTCATCAATCAGCAGGTCTGTCCTTCCAAACCCAAGTTATACATGGAGGATCAAAAAGTTTGTAACAATCCTCTGGCCTCCACTCTGGTTTCATAAACTGTGACCATTTATATTCTTTCAGATGTTCTTTTTAGATATCCAAGCCAAAGGTGAAGAGATAGAAGATGTTTCTATTGATGTCTCCAACTTTCTACCTAAAAAGTCCTAGAACCTTCAAAATAGAAAGACATTTATGATAACATCACTTCATGAGAGGCAGATACACTGCCTGTGTTCAGAGCCCGTCTCTGTCATTTATTAACTATATAATCTTGGGTTAGTTAACCTAACACTCCCATTTCTCCATTTCCGCATTTGTAAAATGGGATAATAGTAACTGCATCACAAGGTTGTTATGAAGGTTCTCGCATGAAAAGTTCTAAATACTAGCAAGAATATGGCTTAATAAAATGTTAGCATTTACCATTATTACCCTCTCCTGACAGATTTTCTATGTCTTCGTAGAAATAAAAATATTGAAATAAAAAAATATTGAAAAAAAAATAAAAAATAAAAAATAAATATATTGGTCTCTGCCCCTTGTTCCTGACACAGGGCACTGAAACCCTTGTAAATTCCCAAGTGGTAAGAGCACTAGGAACAACTTTTGTTCTAATGAGTTGACTCCGGGTAGACTCCTGGTTGGCGGCTGGTCACCAGAAAGACTAAGCCAGGATTAGAGGCTAGGAATCTTCAGCCCCACCTCCCCCATTCTCCAGAGAAGGAAGAAGGATTGGAAATGGAGTTAATACTTGATCATGTGAGGAAACCTCCATAAAATGCCAATAGTAAGGAGGGTGATCACCCCAATTCCTTAAGGACATTAGCTCCTGCACTTGGGACCCTCCCAGACCTTGTCCTTTGTATTTCTCCATCTGCTGTTAATCTGTATCCTTTATCATATCCTTTTACAAACTGGTAAACATAAATGTTTCCCTGACGTCCGTGAACTATTCTAGCAAATAACAGAATCCAAGGAGGAGGAGGTCATGGGAACCTCCAGTTTGTAGCCATGTCAGACAGAAGTTGTGGGTAACTTGGACCTATTACTTGCAATTGGCATCTGAAGTCTGGGGCAGTCTCGACAGACTGAGTCTTGTGGGACTTAACCTATGGGATCTGGTGTTAATCTCTAGGTAGTACTGGGATTGAGTTAATTGTTAGGACACCCAGTTTATATCACAGAATTGTTTGGTGTGGGGGAAAGAAAATAAAAACCCACACATTTGGTGTCAGAGGTGTTGTGAGTGTGGTAGTAGTGTGAAAGTGGAGGAGAAACACAGAAGAAAGACCAGGTTTTTTTCTACACATACTCTTACTATGCATTTGATTGTCTGAACAACTCGTACTTATGCACTTGTCTTATCTTTCTATAATAGACACTCGGCAACCTTCCCCTTGACTCAAAATATTTTTTTAAGATTTTATTTATTTGAGGGAGAGGGGCGCCTGGGTGGCTCAGTGGGTTAAAGCCTCTGCCTTCGGCTCAGGTCATGATCTCAGGGTCCTGGGATCGAGCCCCGCATTGGGCTCTCTGCTCAGCAGGGAGCCTGCTTCCTCCTCTCTCTCTGCCTACTTGTAATCTCTGTCTGTCAAATAAATAAATAAAATCTTTAAAAAAAATTTAAAAAAATTATTTGAGGGAGAGAAAGTGAGCGAATGAGAGTGAGCAGAAGGAGGTGCAGAGGGAGAGGGAGAAGCAGACTCCATGCTGAGCAGGGGACCTGACGCATGACCTGAGCCGAAGGCAGATGCTTAACCAACTGAGCTGCCCAAGTGCCCCAAAAAATTTTCTTCAGGAATTTTTCCATGATCTACCTGATTCTTAGTAACACATTATTTTACACAACAATTTTATTTATTGGTTTGAGAGTTGGCTAGCTTAGAAATATTTTTATGAACTAAAGTTGATATTTATTAATTATGCCAGTCTTTGTTATGAGGGATTTCAGCTTTTTCTTCATTTTGCTGGTGAATTTCTAGTTCTAACGTTGGACAAAGAATTAGAGGCAGTGAATTTAATACCTTTTCTCCAGATTATAAAATCCAGCCTTCTATTCACTAAACTCCATTATTTCTACATACAATTCTTTGCAACTAAAGAGGGCCAAACTAGGGGCACCTGGGTGGCTAAGTTGCTTAAGCATCTGACTTCAGCTCAGTTCATGGTCTTGGGGTCCTGGTCTCGAAGCCAGCATCAGGCTCCCCACTCAATGGGGAGTCCGCTTGTCCCTCTCCCAGAGCCCCTCTCTCTGCTTATGCTCTCTCTCTATTTCAAATAAATAAATAAAATCTAAATTAAAAAAAAGGCAACTCACAGAATGGGAGAAAATATTTGCAAATTATATATCTGGTAATGGAGTCATAAACAAAATACAGAAGGAATTCTTACTGCTCAAAAATTTTTTTAAAAGCAATTTTAAAATGGACAAAGGATTTTTATTAGTTTCCTAGGGCTACCAGAACAAATTACCAATAACTGAGTGGCTCTTTTTATCTTGCAAAACTGAAACTATGCCTATTAAACAATTTCCATATTCCCCTCCCCCACAGACTTCTTTAGGTGATGAAAATGAGCTAAATTGACAGTAGTGATAGTTGCTCATGTACTGAGTATACTAAAAACTGTTGAATTATACATCTTAAATAGTAAATTATATGGTATGTGAATTATATTTCAATTAAACTGTTTAAAATTAGTACTATTTATAATAGCATCAAAAAAAAATTTTTTAGCATCAAAAAATTTTTATGTAAAAGTGCCTATGAGCAAATGGGCCATCCTGGAATGGGAGAGAGGAATTATAGGAAAGCCTTCTCACTCCTAGCTCCTCAATACTGCCTTCAAGGCTCATATCCCCCAGATAGAAGACTGGAGGAATAGCCTTCTCAAGAAAAACTAAACACTCCAGAGATACAATTATCTTGAAATCTTTGTTGACAAAACTGACAGGCTGCCTAATCCTTCTGTAGTGAAACATTCCACTTAATGGCTCTACCCATATTTTTTGCTTATAAATAGAACATGCCACTAAGAATCATCAGACATTTGAGGAAAATCACTATCAAGTAAGAGAGTGACTGGGGAGAAGGGTTGGCGGATGGGGTAACTGGGTGATGGACATTGGGAAGGGTATATGTTGTAATGAGCACTGGGTATTATATAAGACTGATGAATCACAGACCTGTACCCCAGAAAAAATAATACATTATATTAATTGATTGAATTTAAATTAAAAAAAAAGAGAGTGACCAAAGTAAACAAATGGGGGGGAGAGAAGGAATTTAGTAAATACAAAAACAATACAAGATGCAGAAAAAAATTAATAAAACTCTATGCTATTATCCAGGGAGAGAGAGAGAAAGAAACAGAGAGATTGTCATTAAAATAAAATTAGAATGCTATAAAAGCAGAAGATCAAAGAGCAAGAAAGAACCCATGAAATTTAAAAGTATGAGAACTGAAGAGACAGTTTTTTGTTTTGTTGTAGGATAAGGTCAAGAAACTATCTCAGAGAAGAAAGCAAAAAGAAAGAAATGGAAATCAGGAGAGAATAAAATAAGAAGTTCAGTACAGGAGGTTCAATATGGGAATTCCTGGGAGAATAAAGAAAACAGCAGACAGTAAATTATCAAAGAAATACTATTTTAAGAAATTTCCTGGGGCATCTGGCTGGCTCAGTTGAAAGAACATGCAACCCTTGATCTCGGGTTCCTGAGTTTGAGCCACACCTTGGGTATAACAAATACTTAAAAATGTAAACAAATAAAGAAACTTAAAAAAAAAAATCCTGGGGGCACCTGGGTGGCTCAGTGGGTTAAAGCCTCTGCCTTCAGCTCAGGTCATGATCCCAGGGTTCTGGGATCGAGCCCCTCATCGGGCTCTCTGCTCAGCAGGGAGCCTGCTTCTCCTCTCTCTGCCTGCCTCTCTGCCTACTTGTGATCTCTGTCTGTCAAGTAAATAAATAAAAAATCTTAAAAAAAAAAAGTCCCGAACTGAAGGACATGGGTCTCCAGAAAGAAGAGGCTCACTGAATATACAGCAATACAAATCAAGACCCACCAAGGCTCACCCTTATTAATTTTCAGAATACACAAACTAGATTCCATA